TGGAAAAAAAATGAAGCCCGTTTTCTCTGCGGCTTTTTTCTTTTTCTTTTTTGGAGTGGTTTTGGTGACAGTGGTTTTGGTAACACTTGGCGTCTCAAGGTTCGTTGCCTTGCCCTGAGAATCCGGTGCCCCATGAAAGGAACAATAGAAAGAATTCCATTGGGGTTGCACACGGCTGAAAGTGATTTCTGCCCTCAGTAACGTTGTTCATTTTTTCCAGTTTGGACGCTTCAGTTCCTGGTCTAATTATAGATTAGGGCTGGGTGTGCTGTAAGCCAAAACCAGATTCCTTAGGACTTTGTACTGTTCTTGTAAGTGACCACATGAACAGCTGGGGCAAGTGAGAAGCAGACTGGGGGGGGAAAGGTTATCCTTTAAAACAAAGTAGATGTCATATCTAGAATGTCCTCCGGACTGCTATAGAAGAAATTTGTGTCTTTGTTTTTCTTCGTAGCTTTATTTTTACTTTACTTTTTTATTTTTACTATATTTTTATTTTTACTTTTATTTTTACTTTTTTACCAGATCTATTAAGGAGGATCGAATCTGATCATACTCTTGGGCCATTATATGCAGTCTCTGATACTTTGTTTCAGCCAGTTAGTGAAACAGATAGAACATTGGGCCTGAAATCTAGAAGACCTGAGTTCAAATTCCACCTCAGACCCTTAGTAAGCTACATGACTCTGGGCAAGTCACTTAACCTCTGTCTACCTCAGTTTCCTCAACTGTAAAGTGAGGATAATTATAATACCTACCTCCCAGAGTTGTGAGGAACAAATAAGATACTATTTGTAAATGCTTTGCAAACTTCAAAATGCTATATAAACAAGAACTGTTATTATTGTTGTTGTCATTATCATTATCAGAGATCCTTTCTGGCTCTAGGTCAGGAATTCTTAACCTGCGGTCCATGGATAGATTTTAGGAGATTTGTGGACATAGATGTGGGGGGAAAACACCCAAACTTTGTTTTCACTAACTTTAACTGAAATTTCATACTTCTTTCAGTTATGAATTTTAAAAAACCATCAATTTGAGGAGTCTTTGGTTTTACCTGATTGCCAGTGTGGGGAAATGGGGGGAGCCTAGGCCACAAGAAAGGTTGACCCCCTTCTTACATCTATGGTCTCGTGTCTTAACAAATTTGGGCACACTAATTTTCATCATAAAAATATTTGAGCAGGTTACAGCTCACATTTATATTACCTTCTAAGGCTTATAAAGTACTTTCTTCACAACCACCATGTGAGAGGCAGGTAGGACAGGCATTATTGTTTCAGATGAGGAAGCTGAGAGTTGGACTGGTACAGTGACTTTAACCAAGGTTATACATTTAATAATGATCAAAACCAAGATCAGAATCCAGATCTCCTGACTCCAAATCCAGTACTTTTTTCCCTAATGATAAAAGCTGATATTTATATAGCATTTTAGAATTTGCAGAGCACTCTGCATGCATTATCTCATTTTAGTCATTCTATAACATGATGAGTCTTTGGCATTTTTAAAGAGTTTGTCTCATTCAAACATTCACTTCCAAGGCACTTCCAAACCATGCTGTCCACACTCCAGCCATCCTCCTCGTTTATATATGACACCATGCAGTTCCTGTGGAACTTAGACTGATAACATGTTTGAAAGAAACTATTAAACTAAATTACCACACATTTACCCTTTACAAGGTTCATTTGTACAAACAAAGTCTTTGAGAATGGATAGTGGGAGCATGATATAGAAATATGAACATATCTGGATTCAGATGCAAACATGTGTGTTTCATCATCTTCCATTGTTGGGAATTTAAAAAAACCTACATTGTGTAGTGGTGGCCATACAAAGAAAGGTAGAAGATAGTCCCATATAGTACTTTAGACCCTTCCATTATATTTTATTACCTCTTCTCTTATTTTGTATCACAGTATCTCCTTACATAATATATCAGTATATTCCAGACCACTCTTCCATCATGGGAGAAGTAGGGGACTGTCTATACTGTCTGACTCAGTGGATATGTTGGTCAGTTTTATAGAACCATTTTCTTTTTTTCTCTTACTTTTTCATTTTTTGCTATTTTCTTTATTTTTTGTTATGGAGAAAAGCTCTCTGGGTTGGTGAGGGGGAACAAAGTTTTATTTAGAGATAAAAAAGGTATAAAAGCTGAAGATATCAATAACAAAAGTTTTTTCTAAGTATATTTCAGCGAAACAGCTCACATCTAGTCACATGCTGTGTTTCCTCAAAAGTTAGCTTGTCCAATATTTCCTTAAGAAAGAAGAGATATTTAGACCAAGTTCTCAGTGCATTTCAGCTTTGATTATCCTTCCTAATTGCCTGATTTCCCATTAGTGTCGGGTACATTCAAGGGTGATAAAAAGTATCTGAACTTATGAGGCTCTTTTTTGTTTCCAGTAAGATGCCATTTATCCTTTCACCCTCAATAAAAAGCCAATTGCTAATGGCACTTGGTCACTGACTCCATTTTTAAAATGGATGAAGCTCAATCCTTCCTGCTCCTGTATTTCTTTTTGTTTCTACCTTATGGGGTTTTTCCCATTCCCAAGGGTTGTATAATTGTATACAATATAAATATTAGTAATAACATAATGCTACATCATGTATAATCAATAAAAAGCCAATCTCTAATGGGACCTGGTAACTGACTCCATTTTTGAAAAAGGATGAAGCCTCATCCTTCCTGCTAATGTGTGTTTACTCTTTGTTTTCACCTTATGGTGTGTTTTCCCCCATTCCCAAGGGTTTTTTAATTGCTCCAAAATAACTTAAAAAATTGGGCATGAGACAAAATTAAAAGCTTGAGTGTTTTGGGGTCTTGATTACTGGTCTTCTGTCTACTATGTCATGCTGCCTCTCATTTATTAGTTAGATATATTTGATTATATTAAACGTTGGATTAGCCCAGCTAATGAATACAAAGAAGCATAGAAAGACTTACAGAAACTGATGCAGATTCAAGTAAGCAGAAACAAGAAAGAACAGACACAGTGTAAGGGGAAGAAGGAACAGCAACAAACAATCAAAAGGAAATGTTGCCAAATTCCAAAGGACAAGCATGGCTCAGAAGAGTCACGAGAAGACATTGTCACCCAAGATGTGAGGCCCACAGGTGTGGCACGTTGATCATATTTTCAGACTTTTAAAAATGTATTGATCAGTTTTGCTGATATTTTTCTTTCCTTTAAAATATTATTCATTATATTTGGATGGCTCACTTGGAGCAGAGGAATACTGGGAGAAATTGTGGTCATTTTTTTAAAAAGGATATTTTATTAAAATTTATTAAATTTATAAATAAAATTTATTAAAAATTTATTAAAATAAAATTCTAATTTATAAAATTTATCTAAAATTTATTAAAATTTATTTTAAAAATTTATTAAATTTATTAAAAATAAATAAAATTTATTTAAAAATTTATTAAAAATAAATAAAAATTTATTTAAAAAAAAGAGAAGTGAATGGCCCTGCTGTCATAAACCACAGTACTGGATTCTAGCAGAATTTGGGCTAGTAAGGATAAAAATGGGCAGCTAGGTGGTGCAGTGGATAAATTGTTGGGCTTGGGGTCTAGAAGACCTAAGTTCAGACACTATCTGTGTGACTCTGGTCAAGTCACGTAACCCCATTTGCCTCAGTTTCCTCATCTGCAAAATGAGTTAGAGAAGGAAATGGCAAACCACTCTAGTATCTTTGCCAAGAAAACCCGAAATGGGGTAGCAAAGCGTCCAACACAACTGAAAACAAATACACAAAAAAGATAAAGAAAAATGCCACAACCAACGACCTGGAACATAATGCCAGTTGATGGTGAGAAGCATTGTGAGACTGTGGAAAAAGTAGAGAATTTGGAGTCATGGGACTTGAGATAAAATCCCAGCTCTACCTTGGGCAAGTCATTTCCCTTTCTGGGCCTCAGTTTCCCCACCTGTAAAATGAGGGGGCTGGACTAGCTGGCCCTGAAGTCCCTTCCACAGATAGATCCTATGATGATCATAATAACAAGTGACATTTACGTAGTGTTTTTAGATTTGCAAAATGCTTAGTATACATACTCTCACTTTAGCCTGGTGACCAAAGGGGGTGCTAAGTGTATTCTCATCCCTTGTTTACAGAGGAGGAAACTGAGGCTCATAGGGTAAGTGACTCGTCCAGGGCCCTGCAGCTGCTGTGTGTCAGTGGTAAGATTTAAATGCAGTGGGAAGAACGTCCTGGGTTTGTAGTCAGAGGTCCAGGGTTCAAATCCTGCCTCTGCTAACTTGCTACCTTTAAGATCCTGGGAAGGTCCTGTCATTTACCTTGGGCTTCCATTTTCTCATCGTCATCCATTTCCCCCTCGTGAAGGGATTGGACTGGATGGGGTAATAAGGTCCCTTCCGTCTCTAAGCCTGTGACCCTGTGTTTATTAACAGCGCCTGCCTCTCAGGGCTGTTTTGAGGATCAAATGAGAAAATATTTGTAAAGCCCTTAGCTCAGTGCCTGGCACACAGTAGGCACTTTGTGGTCGTTTTTATTGTTCAGTCATGTTCAACTCTTCGTGACCCTGTGGACCATAATATCCATAGGGTTTTCTTGGCAAAATACTGGAGTGGTTTGCCATTTCCTTCTCCAGTGCATTAAGGCAAACGGGTTAAGTGACTTGCCTAGAGTCACATATCTAGTAAATGTCTGAGGTTGGATTGAACTCAGGTCTTCCTGATTCCAAGCCCAGTGCTTTATCCGTTACACCACCCAGCTGGCCCAGTAGGCGTTCAGTAAATACTTATTTCCCCCGCCGTCCCCTTCCTGACTTTGTACGAAGCTTGGTGCTCAATCCATACCACCATTGGATGCCTTAAAAAAGTCATAACTAATAACTATGTCATGCTTTGCATACATGATCACATTTGATCTGCACAACAACATTAAAAAACGCCATTCCCCAAACAAGCCTAAAACTGCCTGGATCTATCTAATCCTTCTCTGTCCTTTGTCTCTCCCAGGTTCCTGAGTCCCTTCAACATGATTCTGGGGGGCACGGTGGTGGTGCTCGTGTTCACGGGCTTCGTGTGGGCTGCCCAAAATAAAGACATCCTTCGCCGCCTGAAGAAGCAGTACCCCACCACCTTTGTCATGGTGGTCATGCTGTCCAGTTACTTCCTCATCTCCTTCTTTGGCGGCGTCATGGTCTTTGTGTTTGGAATCACATTTCCTCTGCTGCGTAAGTGAAGTCGCCTCCTGCCTTTCCAATGTATAGATGGCACAAAGCCAGTAGGGCTGCCCAGTGCCCTGAGTGGCAGAATCAAGCTCTGTACGAATTTCAGCCAGCTTTGAATCTAATAAGATATTATTTAATAGGGGTAAATGTAAACCATTATTCTTGAGTTCAAAAAAATTAACTTTAGAGGTACAAGATGGGAGAAATATGACTAGACATCATGGTAGCTGAAAAAGAAATGGAGGTCTTAGTGAAATACAAGCTCAGAATCAGTCTGTCCTGCGAAATGGTAGATAAGAAACCAAATTTATTCTATATTGAGAGACATCGTAGCTTCTGGGAAGAAGGAGATGATAGTCTTAACTCTTCTTAGGCCTGATCAGATCCTAGCTGGAGTGCTATGTTTGGTTCTAGGCCTCATTTAGAAAGATCTTGATAAACTGGAAAGTATCCAGAGGAGGGAAACCAGGACAGTGAAGGGATCGCAGGGGAGGGTAAGTTAAAGGAACTAGGGGTATCTAGCATGGAAAAGAGAAGAATTAGGGTAACATAATTGTTCAAGTATTTGAAGGGGTATCATAGGGTCATAGAGCTGGAAGGATCCTCAACTCCCTCATTTTACTAATAACTAATAATAATATGTATATAACACTTTAAGGTTTGCAAAGTGCTTTATAAATATTATCTCATTTTATCCTCACAATAGCCATGGGAGTTATCCTCATTTTACAGACTAGGAAACTAATGGGTTTAGATCAAGTGACTTGCCCAGGATCACACAACTATTAAGTGTACCAGGCAGGATTTGAATTCAGGTCTTCTTTACTCAAAGTTCTGTACTCTGTCTACTATGCTGCCCCACCGACCTCCTGTGAACAAGAGATTAAACTTGTTCTCCTTAGCCTCTGAGGGCAGAAAAAATGAGTGGAGAGATAAATTTAGGCTTGTGGTCAGAAAACACTTCCTCTGGCCGGCCTGAGAACTTGTGGATTTTCCCTCTCTGGGAATCTTCAGGCAGAGGCTGGATGATCACTTGACTGGTGTATATAAAGATCCTTCTTTGGTTATGGTTTGGATTGGATGGTTACTGACGTACCTTCCAACCCTGAGATCCCATAAATCTGTGAAGCGTAGTAGCCACTAAGGATGTTCAGTGCCGTCAAAGAATGGATTGTTCTTTTGGAGATCTATTATTTACTGTCTATACAGCTGGTGGCACAGCGGTTAGAGTGCCGGGCCTGGGGTAAGGCAGCCCTGAGTTCAAATATGGCCTTAGGTGCTTACTAACTGTGTGGCCCTGGGCAAGTCACTTAACCTTGTTTGCCTCGGTTTCCTCATCTGTAAAATTGGGATAGTAATAGCACCCATCTGTTGTGTGAGGATGCAGTGAGAAAATGTTTGTAAAGTGCTTAGCACAGGCTCTGGCATATAGTAGGTATTTAATAAATGCTTGTTCCCTCCGTGCCTCTACTCGTTAGGATGAGGACAAGACCTGCCTTTTGCTGCCACTTCTTTCAAGCAGTCTTTATAATTCTCTCTCTTAAATTTGGCTCTGTTTGGAAGCTTAAACTTCAGTCTTGGCCCGACAGGTTGTATCAGCCGCCACATTCTTCCTGTTTTGCTTCCGAATCAGCATCAAAAGGTTGACCTAACTGCATTGAGATAGTGTGGAAAATAGTGTGGGAGAAAAGCACTAGTTTGGCTGTCTTTACTCACGTCACCTTGGGCAAGTCACTTGGACGATTCTGGGCCTCGGTTTCTCATCTGTAAAATGCCAGTTGGATTAGATAGGCTAAGGTCCCTTCCAGGTATAAGGCTGTGATCCCATGATCCCAGTGTGATTTGCCTTGTTCTTAACACTGGAACCCACATTATGGACGCCCAGGAAACGAAGCCATTTCTTCCTTGATGGGCAACTGAATCTAATGTGGTTCGTTGTCCACTGACACCAGGGCTTCGGCTCATGGCATGCAGTGAAATGAGGAGCCATTGGTGAACTGCCCTTCTCCTTAGCAGAAATCAAGGTCACAAATTGCATTCGTTGAAAGGTGTAGCAAAATACCAGCCTAGCAAGTTGGAGGAGACAACTTACTTTTAACTCGTACAGGATTTCTTCAGTGAACCTATGGGCTCTAATGTGGAATTTTAAAAGATGGACTCATTCCAAAATCAAGGCCGGGAGCTAGCGTGGATTTTTGTTTTCCTCCGGCTTTCTTTCCTCAAGTACTAGCCTAACTTCACATTTTGGTCTTCTGATGGAGGCTGATTTGGAGAGGCGGAGAGGCCTACTGGCTAGAGAGCTAGCCTCCAAGTAAGGAGCGAGGTTGGAGTCCTGTCTCTGACACATACACTCACTTCTCGGTGCCCAAGGGACCTAAGACTAGGTGCCAGTCTGGTTGATGGGAGGATCTCCTCATCAGGCATTCCCCATACCAATGACTTCACAGGCCCTATCCAAAATATGCTGATTAGCCCAGACCTTCCCAGAAGGCAGGCTGAGGGTTGTGATATGCAGTTCATGTAATTATAGCTTTGTCAGGGTAATCCTAACTGACAGTTTTATGGCACTTTAAGGTTTGCACAGGGCTTTCCATGTTTTCTGTCATTTGATTCTGTCTCAGCCCGTGAGGTGTGGGTACCACAGGTGATGTTATCCCTGTTTTTCTAGAGACTCAGAGAATTTCAGTGACTTGCTCAGGCTCACACTGCTATTGTCAGGCAGGATTTGAACTTCTCGACTTTGGTCTGATGCTAGCCACTAACCTGTGTTTCCTCTCAGAAACACCTAGAGTGATTGATGAAGCATGGGAAGGCAGCAAGCATTTATTAAGCACTTGCTGCGTTCCAGCCACTGTGCTGAGCACTGGGGATAGAAATACAAGCAAAAAGAAACATTTCCTGTCCTCTGAAAGCTTCTATTCTAAAGAGGGAAGACACATAGAAAAGGAGCTGGAAAGCAGGGATATGGTGGTGAAGTCCAGAGAGGCAGACTAAGACCAGGAAAGGAAGGGAGGGAGGCCAGCTTGTGACTCTCTGCAGAATGGCTGCCCAAGAGGAATTCCCCAATGGGACAAGAGGGCTGGCATCCCCCCATCTCTCAGCCCCTGCAGTTTGTACTTAACTGACACACACCTGACTGGCATCTTCAAAGGCATCTGCACACTCTAACGTGGAGGAAGTGAGAAAGGCTCTGGCCCAATATAAAACCCCACAGCCGTGGACTGCCTTGGACCGCCCTGGATCAGGCTGTATTCTAGATAGAGAAGATTTCTCGAGCTGTAATTTCTCTCAGAACCAAACCAGGGCTGGTTGGCACCCACCGTATCGCCTGGTATCCTTTGGTGTGCTCCAGTGTTCTTCCCATGGTTTGTAGGCTATGAATAGGCACTGCAGCTAGATTAGATGTGGATTCCTCATTGCCCTCCCAGCTGTCTTCTGACTCTCTGGACTTCACCACAGATATCCGGGATAGATAATTCATTTAAATAATGCCTTTGTGTTGTGTTGAAAGGCAGATTTAAACAAGTACTTTTTCCTGCTCAGCTTTTCAATATATTTCTTCTTTGATGTGCAGAACCACACTGACACATCTTTCTTCTATCTAAAATTGGAACAAGAACACTTGTAAAAGATTTTAAAACTATATTATAGCGGGTTTTCCCTCTTTCTGTGTAATGGACCTCTTTGATGGTTGATGTAGCTTACAAATGAACCCCTCCTCACAGTAATGTTTCATTGCCTGTATTCAGGATGGAAGGGAATGTTGAATTTCAGTTAAGAGGTTAGTGAACATAAAATTGTGACGTTTTCTCATCTAAGTTCCTAGAGCCCCTGAAATACATAGATTCCAGGTCAAAAGCTTCTGGTATGGTCTGACTTACCGTCCTGATCAAGTCTGCCTAGGTATCATGTAGAGCAAACCTAGATACAGTGGATTTAAAAGCTGACCCATGAGGGAGGCAACCTGAGAAACCAGCAATCCCATGCAATTCTCCTGCCAGAGAAAAGCCCCCCCACCCCAGGTGACCTCTCCAGCCCCTCTCCTAGTGAGGCAGGGAGTGGGAAGGAGAACAAAATATTCCAGATAAATTGGAGAGCTCGATGTGGGTGGGCTGGGTAAACAAGAGCGTGCCATTTAACCCCCCAGATTTTGAGAATAATGAATGTTCGTGGGGAGAATGGACACACATTTTAAATCTATTTGTCTTTTTGTTTTTCCAGTGATGTTCATCCATGCTTCTTTGAGACTTCGGAATATCAAGAACAAATTAGAGAACAAAATGGAAGGGATAGGCTTGAAGAAAACCCCAATGGGCATCGTTCTTGATGCTCTGGAGCAGCAGGAAGACAGCTTCAACAAAATCGCTGACTATATCAGTAAAGCAAAGGAATAAGTGTCTGTAGCCTGATGACGTGCATTAAATCCATGGCAGGAATAGTTTTTTTTTTCCTTTGCTCCTGTCCAGGACTTGCTTCCTGTTTGTGTGTATGAAATGTGAGGTGCCCATAGAGAGAGCCCTACTAAAACTTAACTAGGTGGCAAGATGCGGGTTGGTCAAATTATGTCCAACTCTTGCCATGATGGAGAGGAGGAGAACCCAACCAAAAGTCACCCATCTTCCTATTATGTCCTAAGACCTTTTTAGTCGTTTAGTCTATACTTGTTTAGACAAACTGAGCAAAATCTGTGTTTCTTCATGGGGGTAAAATAACCCTTGATTCTTTGTTATAATGAACATATTTCTAAGTATTGATCAGTGTTAATAATGTCTACTACAGTGATATTGTTTATATCTTAAAGGAGTTCAAAACAGCCTTAAGAAACAAACAAAAATATGGAGGTATATACAGGTGAATAGAAATGTCTGTTAATTAGAATAGATGATATGAGACTTACCTCTTCCCCTACCCCTCCAAACCCTGGTATGGTAAGCTTTTTTGTATGTAAATTGCTTTTATTATCTTTTAAGAGCCGAGTTCATGTATTGCTTTTCTCTCTGCTTGATTCTGTGCAGTGAAAACTGGATAAACACTCCCCACTCTGTTTACAGATTTAAAGTCTGCTATGTGGGAGACTAGCAAAATACATTGTTAGATTTCTATAAATTCTTTTAAGTTACCCTAATCAGTTTTGTACCAGCAAGCTTGTGCTACAAAATGAGCATGAGTGTTGCCTTTCTTAAAGAAGGCAGCTGTGTAACCTGTGTCATGCTTGACCAGATGTATTAACAAATCTTGAGTTCTACTGAGTACTATTTATATTACTCATATAGCTTTTTGTTGTGGTTTCTAGGAAGGTGGAAAACTCATGTCAGTAATGGGTTGTTTGTTTGGTTTGGTTTTCCCCTTACCTTCTAATTGTACCGTTTGGAACGCAGTGAAATAAATATTCTGGATAGATAATTCATTTAAATGAGTCTTTGTATTTTATTGAAAGGCAACAATGATCAATTTCATCTTTAGTCCAGAGGCATGTGGACACAATCTTTAAACAAAAAAGACGTTTCAGAGTTAGTGGGAAAATAATAACCAATGGCTTTTTAATGCTGAAGTAGCAATTAAACTGAAATAATCTTTGATTCAAGAGAAGGGGAAAAAAAGGTCTAACAATCAGGTCAACCATGCCTAGATCACTTGTGGTAACTACTTAATTAAATATTTTATGGAAATATATTATAGAAAAGGGTTTCTGTAACACGAGACTCACTGTTTAGGGAGGAACATGTGTTCTCACATTGGGAATTGTTCAGATGCTTAGAACACCTTGTACCATGATAGTGTCCTACACTGCTCAGTATTGACCAAAGGAAATCTCTCTGTATTCCGAAGTAGGAAGCAAAAGCTTGCTCCATTTCCTTGCGGTTTAGTTTTTCACAGTTCTGCAGCAGCCTCTTCCAATGCGGTTGTCATGGTGATGATGCTCTCTAATTTTGAAGAGTACGTAAATGTGGGGTATAAAATTTGCTAACAGTTTTTGCAAGACTTTTTCTTGAAACACATGCTCATTAAACTCTTTGGCCTTGGAGGAGAATGCAGTATTAACCAGCAGAAGAGGAAGTGATTTGTGATGATGACATATAGAATTGCCTCAATTCTCAATCAATCAGTGAGCCTGTGTAAGCCCTTAAAAAAGGCAGATGGTCCCTGTTCTGAAGGCACTTATTCTATTGGGAGAGACGACACCTCCATATATGGGTAAATACAGGATATGGGGATGGGGACCGGGATTTCAGTGAAAGAGGGAACTCCATAGTGAGGAAACCCCTATTGCTTGTTTCCTCCTCTGCATGCACACAATATGTGTGTGTGTATCCACATTGCAGGTTAATCACCCAGTCAACGAGCATTTATTAAATGCCTACTGTGCTTTGCATCCATTATGCTACACTGTCTCTCTTTCAGTGCTCAATGATATCTTTCAATTCTTGGATGTAAATTATTACCAGTAACATGTTTTAGCTTTTTGCTCATGGCTCCATATCCAGTGTGCCATGGCTCCTGACCGTGTGGCATATATTCAGAGTAAAAACAAAGCGATTTAAAGAAAGTCCTGGCAACTGAGGCAATGGGGACAGTCCTCTTGAAGGGAGGGAGGGATTCCAAAAGGGGATGCAAAGGCAAAGTATCATTGGATAGAACATCAGTACTGAATAAAATTCAATTCCAGGAGAACCCCTGTTATAAAACTACTATTGGAGGTAGGACTTCCTCCTCTGCCCTTACCTGTTAGTTAAATATAGTAAGTCGTAGATACATATGACTGTGAAATGTGGATACACACACACATGTTGTGTGTATGCAGAGGAGGAAACAGCGATAGCATCTTAGAATTTGTGATGGAGAAGACGACAGCTGGGAATAGTCCAACATGACCCGTAGGTCTGGGGGGAGTGAAGTCATAAACTTTTGAGCCTCCTGCCTTCCATGACTTTCTTCAAGTCCCAGCCAAAGCTTCACCTTCTCCCAGAAGCCTTTCCCAGTCTCCTTTACCATCAGTCCCTTTCCTTTGTTGATTACCTCCACTTTATCCTGTCTGTATCTTGTATATATATGTAGTTGTTCGCATATTGTCTCCTCCATTAGGTTGATGGTTCCTTGAGAACTGAACGTTCTTTTGTTTTATTCTTCTTTTGTTTGTATTTCCAGCACTTAGCAAAGTTCCTGGCATATAGCAAGTGCCTAATAAGGGCTAGTTGTTTGACTGACCCTGTGCCTTTTCTCCAGCTGTCCCCATACCTGGAATGCTGTCCCTTCTCATCTCCCTAGTTTCCTTCAAGACAGTTGAGATCCCACCTTTTCCGAGACGTCTTTCCCACTTTCTCCTCCCCTTCTCCCACCCCAGCAGTGCCCTCTCTCTGGGACTACCTCCCTGGATATGCCTTTTATGTGAGCAGTCATTTGCATGTTGAATCCCCCATTATAATGTGAGCTCCTTAGGAACAGGGACCATGTTTTTTACTTGCTTTTTATCCCCAGCTCTTAGCACATCCCTGGCACATAGTAAATACTTAATAGTGTCTCAGGAAGTCATGGATCTCTTATTATTGGAAGTGTTCAGGTGAAGGCTAGACGACCAACCATTTGCCAGAGACCTCGTCCAAGGGATTCATTTGGGGGTATGAGGCAAGATGACTGGAGATGCCTCCAATTACAAGATTCTATGACTTCCTTCACCAGTCAATGGAGAACCATTGAAGCTATTGTCACTTTGCTGCGACAATGAATACAATGGAGTTCAAGTAGAGAAAAAAATCAGTTTCATATTATTGGGAATGATATAGATTAATTGCTTGGGCATGTAAAATTATTATGAATGATCACTGGTCAATCAACAAGCATTTATTAAATACCTGCTCAGCGCTTGAGACTGGACTAGGTGCTAGGAACGCAAATGCAAAGAATGAAACAAGCCCTTCTCTCAAGGAGGTTATGTTTTAGAAGAGGAAAAAAGAAGTACCTGTATAAGCATATGCATATTAAATATAAAGAGAATAAATCCAAGGTCGTTGGGAGGAAGGTCACTAGAAGTTGGAGGGAGTGGGGGTGGGGGTAGGTCAGGAAAGGCTTCATATAGAAGATGGTGCTTCAATCCTGAAGAAAGTTTTTATGAAGTGGGGATGAGGAAGGAGCGTATTCCAGGTCTGATAAGCAATGCAAAGACCCAGAGATGGGAGATGGAGTTCTTTGTGGGCATTGAGGGAAAAGGAGTGTTGAACATGTCAGCGCCCCGAATCTATATCCATTTTTTTTACATTTATAACAGTTCTTTACATGAAATAATGCAGGGGTTGGCAAACTATTGCAGGGGTTGGCAAATAATGCAGGGCCAAATCTGGCTGGAAGGAGAGAAAGCTTCTGCTCTCTTGGCCTGCCAGAGGGAAGAGAGTGAGTTAGAGCTGAGTGTGAACCTTCTGTCCATGTGATCAACTAGCAGGAAAGAGAACAGGACCAAGAGAAAGACCACATAAGACCTGTCTTGAAGTCCTGCCCACGACTTCCAATCTAGTCAGGTCACGTGCTAGGATCCGGGTCTGATATCTCTGCCCTCTTGAGAGTTGGAAGCAACACCTTCTACATTCTAAGCTCTGCCAGATGTGAATTGTCCCCTCCTCTTTCCCAAGAGACAAGTCAGTTCTGAAACAAGGCGATCCTGCCCCATTAGTAAACAGAAAGCTACCTCCTCCACTTTATCGATACAACTTACTGGGGTCCACTTTCCTTCCCAGGGCTGAGGGAAGGTGGTGTACTTTGCCCTCATTGTTCCCAACACCTGGAATGAGAATATCCATTAAAGATAACAAACACAGCTAAGGAGGCAGTGTCCTAGCAGGACGTACGCAGAGGGCCATTAATAAAAGACTAAGGAATGGGGTTCTTGAGGTGATGCGGAGTCATTGAAGAGCTGGAGTGTGATGGATCAGAGTCGTGACTTTAGGCAGCGATGTCATTCAGCGTGGATCATGGCATCAACCTTAGCTAACAGAATAGCATCAGAAAAGGATTCATACACACACACACACACAGAGAGAAGAAAAACATTCACCCATCCAGTCCCCTACAGAGCATTTCCTTCACAAATTAAAATTTTACTTTATGAAAGAGAATGCTTAACAAAACAACTAGCATCTCAGATATTTTATTCGTCAAAACTTTTCTCTCCCTGAAAGTATTACGTTACGTTTTCCACTGACTCCTGGGCTTTGAAGGAAATTCAGCTGCAGGGGACTCAACATGCAAGTATTTTTTTCTTTCTTTTTTTGTGTTGTTTGTTGTCTGGCAATATTTCATAGGACAGTTACCGTTGGTACCACATCCTGTGGTGAAGGTGATAGCTCCTACATGTTAAAATCTTTACCTAGAATATTGATGGAGGGAGAGCTAGGCTAGGAGGCGACAGATGCTGCTGCAAAGTAGACCCGGGAGTGATGCTGTCATGGATCAGCTCTTTCTGGACATTTGCAGGCACTTTAAGGACCTAGCCCAAGGCTGACCCCCATGTTCTCCCAGGGTGAAGTAATCAGGCATGATAAGTTGCCCTGAATGTAACAACTAGTAATGAAATGTAGCAGAGAAGGCAGAAGGAGGAGTGATAGCAATATAATAACTAACAATTCTCACATATTTATTGGTAGAAAGCAGTGTCCAAGGCAACACAATTCAATGAAGAGATTCATAAAATTTCCACTTATTTTCTGAAAATGTTACTCTATGTTCAACTAGTTCACCAAAATACACATGAAATTAAACAATCATACCCCCTGGAGATTGAGCTTGTAGGATTATTTCTTTTCCACCTCCCACAGCAAACACTCTTTTGTCATTGTTCACACACACTGATTTTAACAAAAAATGCCACTAGTTGTGTGCATTGTTCCCATGTCCGACACCAAGATTCTGAAGAAGGGCCTTGGAAATGCTTTTCAGCCATGGTTGCACAACCTCTCTTTGTTCTTTCTCATTCTTCCGGATGACTCTGTGTCCTTTATGCCAGTTCTTTGGGCAGTTGCACCTGTGGGGGTATAAAGTGGTGGTGTGAGTTAGGCAGGAGAATGTTAATATTAGAAATGTGTGACTTGTTTACAGGAATTTTGAGTTTCAATCCCTTCATCTATAAAATGGGGATAATGAGGATAGACCCTCTCTCCCAGAGTGTCTTGGAGGGTCACATGAGATCATAGGGGAATAGATCCATCTGTACTAGAAGGAACCTTAAAGGTAACACAAGTTCTAAGCCAAGCCTGGGGCAGTTTGTGTACTACATACTGGCACTAGTAATCAGTGGGGAGACTGCTGATGTATTTTGTGCCTGGGTGAGGGGTGGAGTTGGTGTGAGAGCTTTGGAGAGGAGAGACTTTCACTACTGGTTTGTTTTTTTTTTTTTTTTGGCTAGGCAATGAGGTTAAGTGACGTGCCCAGGGTCACACAGCTAGTAAGTGTCAAGTGTCTGAGGCCAGATTTGAACTCTGGTCCTCCTGACTCCAGGGCCGTACTCTATCTACCTGTCTCCATTACTTTCTTTAGGTGGACTTGTGTGGTACCCAGGAGTGTGCTGGAGCTAGCTCAGAATGGTTTCTGACAGTTAAGTGTTAAATTTTCAATCTAAGTATTCACACCTTATAAATTGGCCAATGTTACCTTTCAGGCCTTGATTTGTTGTTTTGTTGATTATCTGGATTTAACAAGTGTTCACGATGCTGATTAAACTTAAAAGAGTATCATGCACCCTTTCAGTTGGTTTTTCTATGGAGCCAATTGTTAAGGATTTACCAGTAGCCCCTGGCGTTACTCAACTTCCTTGGGGACTGACTTCAAAACAGTGGAGATGGACAGATGTGCAGATAGGAGACAGACTGGAATCTGCAAACATTTAGGGGAAGCCAGCTCAACTTGTCTCCAATTTCCTACTTCCCTCTTCGGGGAATTTCCCCTTGGGTGAGATGGGAGTCCATCTCTTGGCCCAGTTGAGTCACTCCCGTCTAAAGAGTGCATTCACTCCATATATTTTCTGGTATACTTAAATCTGTATAACTTCTTTCCTTTGTACTTGCTAACTTCTTGGGTAAATGGCTTTATTATTCGCTATTTGTGATGAAATTTTGTGTAATTAGCATTGGGTGGGAAGGAATACATCTTTAATCATAAGCTTGGGGTAACCATCCTTTCTTTGAGAGAAATCAGGAAAGTTTTTTTCTTTTGAATCTCTTGAATTCCTGACTAGTAATATTTTTGGGGGGCAGATAAATACAATCTGAATCTGACACCCCCCCTGGAGGAAAGAGTGCCTTATCCTGGCAGTGCTCTGGGGACTTACCTGCTCTGTCCCATCCCCCTAGCTATTATACTGGTTCTCCTTTTCTCCTCAAGGATGGTTGAGACCTCAGATCCTATCTATTAATGCCTCTGGCCAGCCACATTTGGATGACTCATGTAGTATGTATTTTACATGGGTGTGCACATGCTCATGAGCACACACACACACACACACACACACACACACACACACACCCCTTCCATGAGTTGTAAAGGGCCATACAGATTTGATAGCTATATGTAAGTGTGCATTACGATCATTTTCAGTTCAAAGTTCAGTAATGTGACATAGGAGGAGCCCACTCCCTCCCTGTCTTGCCAGCAATGTCACCAGCTGGCGAGGCTGTTAATCACCACCGGGCCAGCCAACCAATGTTCTAATCCCCCAGTTAGAGGAAGAATTCAAACTGGATGATCACCTGTCAGGGCTATGATAGAAGGTTTCATACTTCTGGCAGGGGACCCTTCCAACTCAAAGAGTGCAGAAATTTAATGGAATGTTACATCATCCTGCTTGGCCTGACCCTGAATGAAAGCGAGGCTTAAAAAAACAGCAATAAAACCAAAAAAAGAAGGCTGCGTATTGTGATGTCTGTGTGTTACAGTCTCTGAAGGCAGAGACTATTTCAATTTTGTCTTTGTCCAGCTTCTAATTCATTCTGGCTGTGTGAAACTGAGCAAGGTATGCAGCCTCTCAATGTTGTAAACAGTTGTTTTACAATCCAAGTTACAAAGAGGCTGTTCTGCGGTGGTAGAGGAAATTCCCTCATCTGGGAGTGCCCTATATCAGTGGAGTTATGGGTTCAGTTTCTATTTTTTTCCTTATTGCCATCATCTATACCAAGGTTGGGGAATCTGCAGCCTCGAGTTCACATGTAACTTTCTAGGTCCTCAAGTGTGGTCCTTTGACTAAGGACCTAGAGGGCCACATGTGGCCTAGAGGCTGCAAATTCCCCAATCCTGATCTATACAGTATTTGATACTTGAAAAACAATTGGACCTGCAATTTCACTGGGGCAGGAGATTTCCAATGAGGAGAAACCCCCTCTACCAATATAGATAGATGAAACTAGTAGGCTTAAGGAAGTTGCCAGGCACACAATAGGTATTTACTTGAGTGGGTTTGAATTGTTCTGGGCCAATCATGGAAGCTCCCTCAGCCTCAGTATCCTCAGATGTAAAATTGATAATGATCGTGCCTGCAGTACACACCTCATTGGGTTATTGTGAAAATTCAACAAGCTGATGGTGTAACATGCTTTGCCCACCTTAAAGGGCTATCTAAATGTCAGCTATTATTTCTGGGGTTTTTTTTATCATTATTATTATTATCACCAGGCATTTTACTCACAAATTTACTTAATAAATTTTACAAAATGTTTTACTCGTAAGTTACTTATTTATCATAACAAGCCTGCCACATGAGGAGTACAAGTATTAGCATCACCATTTTACAGAAGGGGAAACCAAGACTTAGAGAGTTACAATAATTTATACAAGGGTCACATGACTAGTCATTGCTCAAGTTAAAGACTTGAACCCAGGTGACCTGGCTTTGTCTTTTTTTTTTTTTTTACATTTAATTCTTGTTTTTTTCTCAATTACACATAAAAAATTTAATATTTATTTTTTAAAATTTAAAGTTCTGCATTCTCTCCCTCTCTCCTCATGCTCCCCTATCCTTGGAAAGGCAAGCAATTTGATATAGAATATATATATATATATATATATGCAGTCATGTAAAACATTTCCATATTTGATATCAAGTCTTAACTAATGTGAGTTATGATTATTATTATAAGCGAGCATGAACTCATTCAAGAGATTGACCTCACTTTGGAGTCCAGTAAGGGATAAAGCTATCTGACCATGGTGTGAGAGCACTAGACTTGGTATTGAGAAGACCTGAGTTCAAATCCTGCTTCAGACCCTTACTAGCAAGGTGACCCTGAGTAAGTCACTTAACCTCTCTTAGCCTCAGTTTCTTTATCTGCAAAGTGAAGATAATAATAACACCTACCTCACAGGATGTGTTATGAGGATCAAATAAAAAAAAAAACACAAAGCCCTTTGCAACTTTTAAAGCTCTAGATAAATATAACTAATATTATTAGCTACTATTAAATCACTCAGACAGCTGCAGCAGATGGGGCTTTATCTCTGTCAAAAATACAGAGAGCCGTAGCATGGTGCTAGATAACAGGAGGCGTCTGGCTCAGGAATAAAGGAAAACAGGCCAGGAGGCCCCGGCAACCCAACACTACCAGGCTCTATGGGCAGGTGCCCAAATGGATGAGGCCTTGATGCAGCAGCTTGAATATAACTGAAACAGGATCATAGGCTCAGACATTTAGAGTCATTGAGTCCAACCTCCTCATTTAACAGAAGAGGAAACTGAGACCAGGGAAGGTCAGGTGACCTGCCTAAGGTCAGCAAGGAAGTGTCAGATTGTTGTTGTTGAGTTGTTTCAGTTGTGTCTGACTCTTTGAAATCCCATTTGGGGTTTTCTTGGCAAAGATACTGGAGTGGTTTGATATTTCCTTCTCCAGCTCATTTTGCAGATGAGGAAACTGAGGTGAACAGGGTGAGGTGACTTGCCCAGGGTCACACAGCTAGTAAGTGTCTGGGGCCGAATTTGAACTCAGGAAGATGAGTCTTCTAGACTCCAGGCCCAGCACTCTGAGCGCTATGGCGCCACCTACCTGCCCGAGTGTCAGAGTCAGGACTCAAAACCAGGTTCCCTGAATCTAATCGAAGGCATTCTTTCCAATACACTCGGTTTCTTCTCTCAAAAACAGTCAATCACTGAATCATCCATTATCTGGACCCTACTGAGGAATTTTTTGCTCTCCGAGCCAATGCCATAAATTGCACATGTGTCAAGGGACAGAGGCCCTCCATCATCTGGGGAAGGGAATGGGAGACCACTCTGTGGGGGAGAGATGGATTTTGGGGTGCTGGTACTGTATAGCAGCTTTAGGAAGACCACAGAGGGATTGGTTGGGGGGCAGGTTGGTAGCAAGAGCAGTCCAGGCGGGGCCGGCTAGGGGAGAAACTCTCCAGCCCTCATCCTATTTTAACAAATTATTCTTGATAAATAGATGCTAACATCTGTTCTTTCTGCTCTGAAGAATTGCAAATGCTGTTTAGTTTTCTAAAACTGGTGCCCCTTAAATTTAACACCATGGGCAAAAGCCCCTGTTTCCTTACCCCAGTTACGGTTTATAGGATTATAGGTTCATATACTCTTAGCTGGAAAGAGATCTTAGAGTTCTTTCAGTCCAACTCTTATTTTATATATGAGGAAACTGAGACCTAGAAAGAAATGACTTGCCCAAGGTCACACAGTAAGAGCTAGGAATTGAACTAAGGTGCTTTAACTCCCAGTCTAGGGCTTTTTCTCTTATTACTCCATGCTGGTTCTGTTGTTTTCTCTTTAGGGGCTGCTAGCCGGTCTGTTTGCCTGTGGAATTCCTGCTCATTTTTTAACGCCCAAGCTCAAATGCCACTCGGACAGTGGATAGAGAGCAGGGCCTGAAGTCAGGAAGACTCATCTTCATGAGTTCAAATCTGGCCTAAGATACTAGCTGTGTGACCCTGGGCAAAGTCACTTCACCTTATTTGCCTCAGTTTCCTCATCTGTAAAATGAGAAGGAAATGGCAAACCACTCCAACATCTTTGCCAAGAAAACCCCAAAT